ATCCAACACATGAATAGGCACAACCAACTCCTCAAACGATTTCTCCCCATACCATACACCATGTCATCACCCGATTCCATATGGTCACTCTCAACAAAAGAATTCGAACTCAAGGCACAATCACCGGAAGAAAGAGTTGACGTACCTAGTGTGGGTGGCACTGCCAAATCGTCAAGAGCTTTTTTACTATCATAAATGAGAGTGAGGCCCACCTCTCTCAAGGATGCTAACCGATCCACCATAGCTCGAAACTCGCTCTCCAACCGGGTACTCTCCCATATAATCCTCGCCGATAGAGAATAATATCTCCCAAGTGGAATATGAGATGCATCTAAGTCAAGGAAAGCTACCACGGTAGAATCGAACTTCGTAAGTGTCGCTTGAAGAACATATGGAATTGGAATGCTCCTCCAACTATGAAACTCCTCAATGATCGACATGATGCTCGCAAGTGCCTCTTGAGTGCTCGCCAATACTTCTCGGTGACGTTCAAAAGGCACAACCGTTGATGAAAATGAAGCTTCGGTGCTCGATGTACAAGGTTGGCCAACCGATTGGTGCTCAAATGATGGAGAGGATGGAAAATGGAACTCGGTTTCTTCTTTCTCAGATATGGGGGCCATTGAAGCACGAAGAGATCGATTGCACTCCTCTAAATCCTCCATGATCTCGTCTAAATTGACTCGAGAAGCTTCTCGAGTTGGCTCGGGTGGAGATGTCTCTTTATAATAGACGGGAGGCGGTGGATAGTAGTGAGGCGCCTCGTCGTGACCCGGAGAGTAATAATCGAAATCAACTTGAGATGGCGGGTAAGAAGGGCTCAGATAGGGCGACCCTCCATACAAGTATATCTCCTCATGGTAGTTGTCGAGGTATCCACCAGATGAGCTACCGACATAAGAATAGTCGTACGGGTCCATCGGAGCTCCTCAAGCGAAGTACCTCGCACAAGAACAACAAAACAACCAAGGCACACGAGACCAAGAAACGAAAAATACAAAAACGAAACTAAAACGACACAATATTTACAAAGACACACATAGCAAAAATCAAGAGAAATGCAAAATAAGCAAATAATAAAGAGAAACACGCAAAATTAAGCAAAATCCACAAAAAGCAAGAGAAACACGGAAACAAATGACAACTAGATAGTAAACTTGGCTTCCTACTCGCCTTCGCCGGCAATGGCGCCATTTTGTTTGTAGTATTTTTGTGGGCATGTGGTAACCGAGCTGTTAGAGTAGGATACCCGGCGTTCCAATCAAATTGGACGTATTCTACTTGTAAATACAATCTTGGAATTATATTAAATAATAAGGCATTACTTTATTTTAAGAGTAAGCATTTATCATATATTTGCACTTAAGATAAAATCCCTAGATCACTTATAGCTATAAGATATGGTTGCGCATAGAGATGGTGATCTTGGAACATATCTTGAAAGCTGTGACCTTAAATACAGTTCCAAGTCGTTGGATATTTCGAGATGGGATATCGAATAAATCCGGAAAAGACTTGCACATAGTATGTATGCTTATTGGATAAGAATGTTGCATTCCATCAACATTAGCGTGGGACGCAAATACATATATGTGGGTGCTTGTTAGAGAACAAGTTCACTGAACATGACCGTATGAAAATTCTTAATGAAAGTTTATCATGTCGAATAAGAATTTTCATGTTACAATAGTACATGATTAATCCTTAGACTTGAGGCACGATGGTAACTTTGTGCATATTATATTTTACTTTGATTTATCCTTTTGATTGCTGGCACAATCGTATAAAGGGATATTTTGGGTATTATATTAATATGTATGGAAGTTTGTCAGTGGCCAACAAAGGATTCGACACTTATGAAGATAAGTGAATTTCCTATGTGTTTCATAGTTAGTAATTCAAAGTCCTTGGCCAAGGCGGAATGAATAGAGATTCATAAACGAATTACTAAACTTGAAATGGAATCATAGTTATTAAATCAATTTGGGTTTCGACAAAATCATACCCAAAGATTTAATCGAGAAATTGGATGTCGAAAGGATTTTACATGTATGGAATTGTAATCGAAATAGGTATACTCGCTATTTACTTAATACTAGATTCATGCTACTTGCTAGATGTTCCCATGATATGTTGGTTCTTGAATTAAAGAGTTAATTCAAGAATAAGAGTTAATATGAATAACTCAAATTACAAAGAGTTGTAAACCCACTACTAGTATTAATTGTGAACCTAAAAGGTCACACCAAACTTTGAATGAAGGTAAAATTCAAATAATATTTCTAAATAGTTAGAATTAATTGACAAATCTAATTTGATTAGATATCAATTAAAAGAATATATTAAATTAATCAATTAGATTGATTAATTGAATTTTGGATATTAATTTATTAATTAATAGAATTACTAATTAATAGTTGGAATTTAAAATTGGTATTTCAAATCCAAATAATAATAAGATTATTAAATAAGGAAATGGAAGAATAGATTAAAATAATAAAGTCTTCAAAAATGTTTTCAAGAATTATTTTTTTAGTATTTATCTTTAATATGATTGAAGATTAAACAATAATAAGAATAAATTAATTATGGTAGTTAGGAGTTGTTAACTAATCTACATAATTAATTTTATTTTTATTAATACAATAATAATGATTGATGGTGGTTATAAACCAATCACATTATTAATTAAAAGTCAATATTTGGTATGATTATTTAAATACAATCTGATTTTATTTAAAATAAAATATATCAAATATTGATTATTTTATGCTAAAATGTTTAGTATAAATAGGTGCAAAATGTTTGCACATAAATAGCTAAGTTTTGAGCAAAATTCTTCCAAGAGAAAATTTATTCAAATAGTTGAGTGATAATACAAGAAAGTGTTCTTGAAAAATTTCCTTATAAATATATATTCTATACTTCTTGAAAAATCGAGTAGTTTCTACTAGCGAAGGAACTATTGTCAGAACCGGAAATCAAAAGGTGGATACGATTAGAGGGAAGACATTTGGATTCCTAAAGTGAGTAACCACAAGGAGTGATCGTTACCAAACCGGGAATTGATTTCCTCATACATCATCGGTTTTGAAGGAGTTCAAGAACAAAGGTAATTTTTATAAATTACATATCAAATCAAAATTAGTAAAAGTTACTAGATTTTAAATGATGCTTATTCGTTATATCGTTATACTTATGTACGGAATAAGTATTTATAAGATAAATACTTATAAAATTTTAAATTCCGTTGTAAACTCTGTTCCGTACGGTATATCGAACCCAACAGTGGTATCAGAGCCATGTTACAATTTGCATCTTTAAAATCAGATTTTGATTTGAAAAATTGTTAAAAACACGAACTGGAATAAAAATAGAATAGTGTATTCGAAAACACGAGTCGTGAAGAATGACACGACTCGTGTGACTGGTCGTGTTGGGTCACACGGCCCGTGTGAGAAAGTCACACGAGTCGTGTTGACTGGTCGTGTCACCTCACACGAGTCGTGTGAGGTGTGACACGACTCGTGTGACAAAATTTTCTGAAATTTTTTATAGTCACTTTCGTATTTTTCACACGAGTCGTGTGAGTGAGCCACACGAGTTGTGTGACATGTCACACGAGTCGTGTGACTTGTAACACGAGTCGTGTGACTGATCAGTGATCAGAAAAGAGCTGTTTTGACTTAATATAAGTCATTACTACATCAACATATTAAATTGGTGAATTTATATGTTGAATTCATGTGATGAATGGTTAATTTAGGGATGATCATGAGCCTTTTATGAATGAATGATTGCATGTTTTATTCAATATGATTGAATGTTGCATTTTATCCAATGAGATTGAAGGAATGTAATTTATCGAGACCTGCGAGTCTCTTGAATTATGATTTGTAAAATTTTAAATTTATGTATAGTTATAAGATTAGATCAAGGTGGAGACCGTTCGATGCGAAAGGCCCACGCATGTGTGGGTAATTTTACAAGTTGTAAATCTCGAAGGCTTGTGCTTGTACGGGTAGATAAAATAAATTGTAATAGAAGTAGTTCTATTTATTTGTTTTATCACGTACATAGGCATAGACCTATTTTGGCTCGAATGGGTCGTATAGGCAAGGACATGATCATCCCACCGTATGCATGCATTAGATGTATGTTAGGTTTATTTATGCTTGTGATTCATGCAATGAATAATGCGGTAAATAAACACACGTAAAGATGGTAATTGATGAGATTTAAGGAACTCTAAAGAATTAATTTGATTAATTCTATATCAAATCAATAATGGATAAAAATAAGTTGGAACTTATTAATCCAGACCTTCCATCAAAAGTAGACGACATGAGATGCTACGATGCTTTATCACCGACCATGAGTCGTGGGGTGGTTTAGTGTCGAAAGTTGTGATCTCTACTAAGTATAGTGATACTCATGAGGTGGATTCCTCTTTATGTTGACCATGAGTCGTGGGACATTCTGGTGGGCCACTATCATGAATGTTTGATTGATTTGATTTGACACTTAGTAATATATACGGTCATAAAATTGAGGTATATAAGGAAAAGTGAGACAAAACAACTTGAAGGTTGAATAATGATACAATTGTCAAAAGTTGACTACCGATATAAATGTTTCATGCGTACTC